CCCCCCCCTCCTCGGACCTCCCCCGACGTCAGATGCACCCATCACCATTGGCCCGGCCCCGGGCGGGCGCCGGCCGGGCACCCACTCGGGGGCCGGCTCCGTCGGTCGATCGGCCCCCCCGGCGCCGCTCATGCTTTCCCTGCCGGAGATCACGCACTCGCCGTGGAGCGAGTCGGCTGACAGGCGCCTTGCCGAGCTTTGCGACGCGGTCATCGACATTCCCCACTGGGCCGCCCAGTTGGAGGCCCAGCTTCGGGAAGCGGCGACCACCGGCCCCGACCAGGCCCCCATCCCCACCCCCATGCCGCTGGAGCGAGTGGCCCTCTGCTTGAGATTCAGCGTTCGGCGCCTGGTCACACGCTACGCCGGCCCCCCCTACACCGGCCCCTCGGATGGCCTGCCAGTCAAGGAACTCGAGGCCGACGCCGATCTGCAAACGCTCTCCGGCCTGGCGGACTTGAAGCATGCCCTCGGCACGTTGGATATCCAATTCACCGGCGGACAGCAGCCGGCCAACAACGCCGCCAGCAACCACCCCGGCCTGAGGCCCTCCGAGCTGGAGACCGGGTCCTCGGGCTCCGACACGCAGTGCGTCATTTGCCCGAGCTGCACAGCCCCCTGGCCCATCGCCAGCCCGCACCCTTTCCCCCAGGACCCCCCCCCCCGTCCAGGGGGCTGCTTCTCTCGCCTACCGCCGCCGCCGCCGCCGCCGCCGCCGCCCCTTCCCCCGCCTCGGCCCTCGCGTTGCCCCGCCCCTTCCCCCGGCTCTGGCTCCCGGCCCCTGGAAGCCGCACGGGCAGGAGCACACCACACTGACACTCCCACCGCCACTTGTCTCCCTCCACGGGAATGCATTCGGCCAGGCCCACGCGCCCGGGCCAGTCTTGGGGCTGTCACTACTCCGGGCGCATCATTCGCCTGGGCACGGATGGCACTCTCCAATCGGATACCGCCTCGAGCGCCACCATCACCTGGTGCCCGGGGTCCCGCCTGGTTGAGGGCTACTGGTCTGCCGGCCCCGGGAAGCCGCTCTTCCGCATCCAGCCCCACGACACGGGTGCCTTCTCGAAGGCGGCCGCCGGCCCCTCGGCCCACGGCCGCCAACAGCCACCCAGCCCGGGCGGAATGGCCCTCCATGCCATTACGCCGTGGGAGGCGCGCGACGCCCCGCCCACCGGCGGGGGACATGTCGATGGGTGGGCCCATCGCCTGCTTTCCGGCATCCGCCAGTCGGTCGGCCTGGACAGTGCCACCCCCGCCGGCCCGAGCACCTCAACCCCCAAGACGGCGGCCCTGCCGGAGGACTTTGTCCGGGGCGTTGCCGAGACCGAGGCCCACCACCCGGGCACCCGCCGGTCCGTGTACCGACTTCTGGGGGATGCCTCCGAGGCCGGGCTCGGCGTGGAGGACCACTTCGGCCCGGCCCCGACCTCCATCCAGGAGGTCGAGTTCAACAACAAGGGCATCCTCCCGGTGCGGGTGTACCTGGTCGTCGACCAGGCCATGGTCCGGGTGTATGGCGAGCGCGTGGCCACCAATGTGGCCCTCCAGTCGGTGGGCCGGGCCTCGGAGCTCGTCGAGCGCGGCAACGCCCAGGGGCTTTTCGACCCGCCTCTTCGCTTGGCCGTGCGGAAGATTGACGTCTGGCTCGAGGATCAGGTGCGTACATGGTGCCCGAGAGGCGGCTGGCCGGCCTCCGATGCAAGCGAGGGGCGAGGGGGGCGGGGGGCCACAGGGCGGGCTCCGGCGCTGGCTACCGTCTCCAAAGGACATGCCCCGCAGGCGGGGCCCCTCCTGCACCGCATTACCAATGTCCGAGGCAAGCGGGGGGGGGGGGGGGGATTACAAGGTGACTGGAGGGGGGGGGGGGGGGGGGGGGGCAGCAAGTACACATCTCCAGCTTGACCTTTCCGGAAACTGTCACACCAAGCGCCGCATCCATGGCGGCGCGATGCCCCGTGCCCTGACTCACTCCTCCCCGGTTTCCTCCCCCTCCTCCACCCCCGCGACATTGCGCGACACCACTGGCCTCTTGCTTTCGGGCTGTATTTTCTCGGGCGGCTGTCCACGCCAATCCATGACCATGCACCACGCCATCAGGTATATGTCGACCAGTCGGGCACCCAGGCCCTGCTGAACTTCTGCCGCTGGGCCGTCGACCAGAAGGAGGAGTATGATGCCACGCTCCTGGTCACCGGGGTGGATCTCCGGTCCTCCTCCTCCACCGACAACAAGGGCCGGCCGCGGGACATCGTCGGGGTGGCCCTCGTCGGGACCGCCTGCACGCGGGTGTCGTGCGCCCTGGCCGAGGATCTCGGCCCCGGGTCCATCAAAACCAGTGCCCAGACGATTGCCCACGAGCTGGGCCACGTTCTTGGCGCCACGCACGATGGCATCGACAACAACTGCCAATACTCCTCCAACAATGCCAGCATCATGAGCCCGGTCCTGTCGAACAATGCCCGGTGGTCCACCTGCTCCGGGCGCGAGATCACGCGCTTCGTGCGCGGCCGCTGGCTCCAGCCGGGCTTCTGCTCCTCGGTTCCGTACAACCTCGGGTCCGGGCCCACCTCCGGGCCCAATGGCGGCGGCGGGGACAATGGAAATGGCGGCGGTGGCGGCAAGCGGCCCGTGCGAAATGCCGGGTCTTCCCTGCTCAGCGGCGGCAGCTCCACCCCCGGGGACTGGCTTCGCCGGCTCGGCGCCCCTTTGCTGTTGGCCGGCCTGGTTTGGAGCATGTCCCTCTAGAGGAGGACGGGGAAATGCTCTCCCTTTCGCGCCTGGGGACCCTCTCCGCGGTCCGGGGACAATGCGACAGGGAGGGACCCAAAGCAAGGCGGGGTGGGGGCACGCGCTGGACGCACCTCCCCCTCATGGTCTTCTGTCGAAGGCCCAACGCGCGCCGGGCCCGCCAAAGCCCCCCCTCCGGGCGCGACATAGCACCCTGCCCGCCAGCCCCTGAGTATGCGGCTGGCAGAGGGGAAAAAATAAACATTTACACCCCATGCACGCGCGTTTTTCTTTTCCCCCGCCACATCCCCCTGCCACATGCCTCATGAAGAGGCAGATGAACCTGATGGTGCCTGGAACGGAGGGCAGGGGAGATGCCGAGACCAGAGGTGACGGCAAAGGGGGAGGGGGGCCGGAGGCCGGAGGCACGAGGCCGGAAGAGCCCGAGTATCAGGGCATCACAGATGAGGCGGCCATGGAGCTCAGGAGAGGACAGGGGAAGCAGGCAGGGCAAGGTGTATAATTGTATATTGCCGGTCTGGTTATGGACAGAAGAACACGCTGGACTGCCACCCTCGGACCTCCGGGCCGGGGCACACCGGGGCCGACCGGGAAAAGGAGGCCCCCCCCCCCTCAGGACATGTCCAAAAAGAGGTTCATCGCCAGGGCCACATCGCCATTGGTGAAGGACAGCAGCTGAATGGCGATGTCAGCCGGCACGCCGCTGGCCACAAGTTGCTGGATTTGCTCCTGGCTCGGCATGTACACATCGTCGCGAGAACCGGGCCCAGGGGCCGGGGCCGGCTCGGCCACCGGGGGGCCCCCCGCGGCCGAGGGGTCCGCCACGCCCGGAGCACGTCGCAACAGAGCCGGCGAAGAGGCGCTCCCATCCGGGTGCCGGTTGTCGGGGGCACCACCCCCCGACCGAAGCTCCGGTGACCCGGTCCGGCCGCCAATGGTCTTGCTCTTGTCCACTTGCGCCTCACTGAGGAAGGCCGTCTCGAAGTCCCCCACCCGGAGCACCCCCTTGTGGAGGTCCACCTCGCACTGGTGCCGGCGCAACATGTCCAACCCCAGCAGCACATCCATCGGCTGGTCGATCACATGGAAGCTGGTGTACAAGCACACCGTGTTGTTGGACTCCTGGTCATTGGTCAAGTGCAGGTCCGCCAGGTGAATCCGGCCGACGGTTTGCTGCTGGCCAACACCCACCGCCAGGACCTTGTGCGCGCGGTCGATCAGGTGCTCGATGCCAGCGCGCTTGGTGAACTCGTGCGAGACTGGGCCGGGCCCCGGCCACCAGGACACCAGGGCCGACGATCAGGCCGGGAAGAGCGAAGTCGTGGCCATGAGCATGCGTGTGCCCGCGAACATGCACACATAGACGCACATGCGCACACGCGGGCGCGCCACCGAGCGCAGGACCCCACAGAACGGGATCCAGAAGCCCGGAGGACCGAAGATGAAGAGCAAAAAAAAAAAAAAAAAAAACAGCGTGGATCCGTCAGAATATGCCACCCGAAGGAGACCGCCAACCCAAAAACCAAGGGCCCCAGAGGGCCGGAAGCACACGCACTCAGGGTCATTTGGGCGCCGGTGTCCACAAACGCCTGACAGGGGACGCCATTCACCTTGCAGCTGATGTACAGCATGTGGACCGAGCCCAGGAGCTCCGGCAGATCGTCCTGGGCATTCAGCAAATTCTCCGACACCACAAGGAAGTTGGAAAAGTCCCGCACGATGGCCTCGAGCGCCGGCTTCTCAACCTGCGCGCTAAAGACAAGGATCTGGCGCCGGCCATTTTTTCGAGCCGGGAAAGCAGGGCCAAAATGTGCAGAGGCGGTCCAGGCGGAGGGGAGGGGCTCGCATTAGCATCGCACAGACGAGAGGCAATATATGACCCGGATGTCGGATGGAGATCCGAGCCAAGGAGAGGCCAGCGTAGGGTGGGAGGAAGGCCCCAGTCATGCTGCCGTACCGGCTTCTGCTCCTTGTCGATTTTGCTGATCTCATTGTTCCGGTTGAGGAACTGCCGCAGCCAGTCCTTCATGTTGCGCGGCTCGGCCAGAGCCTGGTCAAATAGCTGGCTCGTGCCCTTAAAGGGATCCAAAAGCTCCGGCAGGGCGAGGATAGCCTTGTGCAGGTTGTTTGATTGGCGATCGATGCTGAGCCGGCCAAGCCAACATGGTGGTTAGCATACGCACCGGGGCGGGACCGATCCCCGAAGACGCCCCAAGCCACCAGCCCCGGGCAGAGACCACACAAGCGGGCGCATTCACGGGCCCCGCGCATCGGACAAGGGAACCCCACCCGAAAGGGCCGGGGCAGACGCACGCATTCCGCTTCCATAGCTGGTACAGCACCGAACCAAAGGGATCCTCGGCCAAGGGCTTGGCACTGCCGAAGGCCTTCACCTGTGATCCCTCGGGGATGCCCATCTGCCGGAAGGGGACTTCCAGCAGCTCATCGAGGATGCACTCACGGTAGCAAATGGCCAAATGCTCAGGCGCGCCGGGGACCTGGAATGGAAGGGCGGAACAAATGACAAGGTCAGTCGGGGGCCTGGCCAAACCCCCAGGCCAAAGTGTGTCACCAATTTCGCACCTTCGCACGGATCTCCTCGACCAGGGACTTGACCGTGGCCTCGGGCGGCAGGTCCACTGTGAAGATGCTCCGCGGCTTGCCAGCCAGGGCGCTGGTAAAGTACTGGACCTTGAGCGGAAACATGGGGACCGGCAGGGGGAAATAGAGAGAGGGGGAGAGGGGGAGGCGGAACCTGTAATCGGCGACGCGACTGTGTGAACCGGGCGTGGGGCGCAAAAAGAGGGCCAGGCACAAGGGGAAAGGCGAAAAGGAACAAGCGGCGGGGGGGGGGAAGGGGCGCGAAGAAGAGAGATGATCCTTTTCCCGGGAGCGGGGCCCGGCACTCCCCCTGACACAAGTTCCCTTTAACACCTCTGGACAGGACGCCCCATCGCGCGAAGGCGATCCCGAAGGTTGGACCCAACGCCAGGTAAACCAGGGGGGGGGGGGGGGGGGGGGGAGACGGGGCTATGTCACCTCATCTTGATCGGAGAGATGCCGTATCCAGATTGTCCGCAGGTAAACCGGACACCACTAGACGCCGGAGGGTGACAGGAGGCCATGCGTTGGCAGATGGACTCCCGCCGTCCTGGCTCCTAGACGATCTCCCTCGCCCGGGCACTCTCTCCTTGGGCAGACACGCGCCCCTCAGCCCCCTGGGGCTCTGTTGATGCGCGCGCCTGCCCCTCCTTGGGGCGTATTCTGCTTGAGATTTCGTGCTGGCAGGCGCACACACACACACACACACACACACACACACACACACACAGATACACAGACAGACACACAGATGCAGATACATACATGCAGACAGGCGGGGAGACCTATGGAAGCACACACACGCACATTTATCGCATGCGCGTGGCCCTGTCCAAAGGATATCGATGTTGGCTTTTCGAGTGGGGTGTATTGCGCATACGAAGCGTGTGGCAAGGGAGAAGAAGAAATGATCATGCTCCAGCGTCGCCCCGAGCACAAGGAGGGAAGGCCTTGCCCCCCCCCCGCCAAACAAGAGCAAGAGAAGGAACACATGTTCAAGAGAGACTAACCCGAAGAGGGAGAGAGAGAGAGGGGGGGGGACAATGTCGACGCATTCACATTCGGGCGCATACGCCCCTGCACACGGCGCCTTGGCCCGGCGCAGCTTAAGCCGAGTCGGCGGCAACACAGGCCAGAGCCTCGTCGCGCTCGGAAATCAGCTCGGCCTCAGTCTTCTGGAGCTTGCCGCGAGAGAAATCCGAGATCTCCAGCCCCTGGACGATCTCGTACTTGCCGCCACCCGGGCAACGGACGGGGAAGGAGAAAATCAGACCCTCGGCAATGCCGTAAGACCCGTCGCTCGGGACGGCCATCGAAACCAGCTCGCCCTCGCGCTCGGAGCCCATCCACCAGTCACGCATGTGGTCGGCCACGGCCTTGGCGGCAGACATGGCCGAGGACAGCTTACGCGCGGCCAGGATGGCCGCACCACGCTGCTGCACGGTCTCAATGAACTCGCCATGCAGCCACTCGGTGTCGGTGATAACCTCGGACACCGGCCGGCGGGCACCGGTCTCCGCGCAAACAATCGTCGCATGGGACACATCCGGGTACTGGGTGGCCGAGTGGTTGCCCCAAATCAGGACGTCCAGGGTCCGATCAACGGACACCCCAGCACGCAGGGCAATCTGGTTGCGAGCGCGGTTGGCATCCAGCCGGGTGAGAGCCGTGATGTTCTCCTTGGGCACGCGCGGGGCATACTTGCTCAGGATCAGGGCATTGGTGTTGGCCGGGTTGCCGACCACCACGCACTTGATGTCCGGCGAGGCAACGCGGTTCATGGCCTCGCCCTGCTCGCGGAAGATCTTGGCATTGGCCTTCAGCAGGTCCGAACGCTCCATCCCCGGACGGCGGGGCATGGCACCCAGGAAGATGGCCGCCTGGGCACCGGTGAAAGCCACCTCCGGGTCCGAGGTGCAGACCACGCCAGCCAGCAGGGGCAGGGCGCTGTCCTCAAGCTCCATGCGAACGCCTGTCGGTGGGGCGAGGGAAAAGGACAGGCCAGACACGTGGGAGTCAGTATCGAACAACGGGAGATGAACCCACAAGGAGAGAGAGAGAGAGAGGGGGGGGGAGGGGGGAACAGCGAACACACCGTTGAGGGACTCCATGCCGGGGTTGATATCGAGGAGCTGAAGGATGACCGGCTGGAGGTGCGCGCGCACACATGGTTCGCCCGATAGCGGCAATCACAGGGGTAGGTTATGGGTGAGACGGGGGAAGCCAGACAACGAAGGAAGGGGAGAAAGAGGCATGGCAAAAGCGGGCCAAGATGTTGAGTCACAAAAAGGGAAAGGCAGCGGGAGGAAACCCTCGGTGCAACCGGGGGAGGGGGACATACGGTGTCCTCGCCGAAAACCACGCCACGGGCGAGGTTCAGCAGCAGGGAATAGGCCAGCTGACCGGCAGCGCCGGTAACACAGACGCGGACGGGCTCATTCTTCTTGGTGATGACCGACTGTTTGGGATTATCGGACAAGGACCGACCAATCGGGAAGGGACAAGGAAGGGCGCGTTAGGCCGAAGAGAAGAGGCAGGGCAGGGCGAGAGAGAGAGAGAGAGAGAAAGAGAAAGAGACAGAAGAAGGTGCGCGTTCGGAGCCAAAAGAGCGGTACCATGATGTCAAAAGGGCGGAGAGAGGAAGGAGGGAGGGCGAAAGGGGGGACTCTTGTTCCGGGAGGTGTTGGCGATCCGCACATGCTCAGCCGCTCAGCCCGGCCGGTCAAATACCCCCCCCCCCCCCCTCGGGCTTGGTGTTCCTGTCCCGGGGTGATGGCGCGATCCGGCGCGATCAACCGCCGCCGGGCGGGCGGGGGGCCACCTGGCAGCGGGGTGGGCCAGACGAGCCTGCTCTGCCGTGGCCCTCGGGCCCGCCTAGACCCACCCCCTGCGCGAGACTATGTGTGTGAGCTGATTTCCATGCGGCAGTGTATCCTGACATCCGCCCGCACTGCCCTGGAAGGAGACATCCCCCAAGGAATCCGACAAGCCGGAGGAATAAAGCGAGGGGGCAACGACGACCGCAACCCCGGAGCTAGACTAGACATTGCCCGGGGGCCGATGCTGTACCAGCGGACCCAGTGAGGGACGCCCGAAAGAGGCATCACGGCCTGGCGGCAGGTCCTCAGCATGCTGGACGACCTCAGGCCATCCGTTCAGCTGTTCCCCCTCCCCCTCTCCTGAGCTATTCCTGCAAGAGTAGCCGGATGCGCAGAGCGGGCAAGGGGCAAACAGGACATGGGCCACGGCCTGCTTGCCCCCCGGGCCCCAGCCCGTAACCCCCCTCAACCCGCTGGCCCATGGATTCGCGCCCCCCCCCCCCCCCAGCCCCACCCTCCTCCGCGCCCCAGGACATTCACATCCATCATCGGACGACAGAACGTCGCTCCTCCCACCGGGCCCCCTCTCCAAAAGAGCGCTCTCGGTGGAAAGGCGCGCGACACCCTCCCATGAAGCCAATACGCCCGCGATCAGTCCCACGTTCAATGCCTCGTCGATGAGAATCGGCCCTGGCTCTCCCACGAAGCCTGCGGTGGCAGTCGGCTGCAGGTGAATCTCGTGGCTCGTCCATGTCACGGGGCATCTTCTTGAAACTGCATTTCCGCATTAAATAGCATTGGATGTATTTGCTGAAACTCAAGGACATTTCACAAGGACAAGATTGGTGGTGCTGCTCTCGGTTGGCGAAAGCGCGCCAGATCGAGGGGGGGGGGGAGGGGGGGAACGGAGGAACACATGCACGTCGGCCCGATCTACCGGAAGAGGGGCTGCTTCTGATCGGGGGAGATGTTCAAGCGGAGGCGCTTACCAGCTGGTTCATCGTCGAACATGGAGTCGCTACCACTGTTGTTGTTGTTGTTGTTGATGCTGCTGCTGTTACTGTTGCTGGTGGTGGTGGTGGTGGTGGTGGTGGTGGTGGTGGTGGTGGTGGTGGCAGTGCCGCCGCCGTTGCCGATGCCGATGCCGATGCCGATGCCGCCGCCGCCGCCGCCGCCGCCGCCGCCGCCGCCGCCGCCGCTGGAGACAGCCGCACTGACACTCGGCGAGGCCGCCAATGCCCCAGTGGCCATGGTCGCTGCTGTGGGAGTGCCATCCCCGCCGGTACCACCATTGCTGCTGGAACTTGGCGAGAACAGCCGACCCCCCGCCCCCGGCACACCAAGGCGCTGGTGCAGGGGCGGCACCGTCGGCGGGGGCGGCGTCCCGCCCCCGGTCGATTGCCAGTGCCTCAGCGAAATCACATACTCCGCCAGAACCAACTGCAGCTCGCTGCTGGCCGGGCCGCCGGCCGCCGCCGAGGGAGAGGGTGTCCCCCCGAAGTTGATCGGCCCCCGGTCCGGAGTCAGACCAAACCCACCGTCAGCCATGCCACCGGCCGCCGGGCTGCTATTCGACGCGGCCAGAACCAGCTCGATGTTGCGCAGCCGCGCGGCCATCAACTCCCGCCGAAGGAGGATGATTTCCTCCGACACCGGGGTCCCGGCCCCGGTTCCGGGGCTCTCGGCCGGAAGCAAAGGCGATGCCAGCGAGGCCCCCCCGGCACCGGCCCCACCCGAAGGAGAGTAGGCCGCCGCCACCGGCGAAAGAGCTCGCCCATTGGCCGCCAGCCAGCCGGCCGCCGGGGAAGGCGTCAACAGGAGCCCCGGGGCCCCTGCCCCCGGAGACAGGCGCCAGTCCGGGATCGGGCTGCCACTTCCCAAGACTGGCACACCACCGACGCTCGCCGCCGTGGCCGTGGCCGTGGCCGTGGCCGTGGTCGCCGCCAGATATGTCGGCAGGAAGAAGTCGCACAGAAGCGCCGCCGAGGGACGCTCGCTGGGCTGCCGGCGCGTCATCAGCTGGATCAATTGGCTGAACTCCGCGCTGAAGCCGGGGATGGACAGCGGCGCGTCTCGGCGCAGGCGCTGCCAGTACTCGCCGTTCTTCGGCAATGGCACCCCGGTGGCCAGCTCGTAAATCGTCAGCCCGAGGGCGAAAATGTCACTGCGATCCAGGCTGGAATAGTCGTCTTCCAGCAATTCCGGCGCCATGTACCGGCAGTCGCCCTCTTCGACGTGACGCTCGACACGCCGAGCACCGGCCCCGGTGGCGGTGGCGGCACCACCGGCCCCCGGGGCTGGCGTGCCCGGCACCCCGGATGCACCGCCTCCCCTGCCGGCCGACCCGGGCCGCCCGAAGCCCGACGCTCCGACGCCCGACAGCAGATGGTCCTCCTCGTGCAGCTGGCGTGGCACATCGCCAATGGACACCAGCGACATCGAGGGGAAGGTGTCGAAGTTGCCACCATCGGCGCGGGCTTCAATCGGACTGCCACTGCTCGGGCGGACTGGCGCCGGCGAGGCGAACTCCGGCTCGCCGGACATCGGTGTGTCGGTGAAGAACCCCCGCGAGGAGCTCGGCCTCGTGGCTGCCACCGGCAAGCCGGCCTCCTGCAGGAAGGAGGCCGAACCATGGAGCGGAAGCGCCGCCGAAGAGGCCGCCACCCCGGGGGCCACACATGGCGTGGCCGGCCGGCTGCCGGACTTCGACGCCGCCGCCGAGGCCGTTGCCGCCGCGGCTGCTGCTGCTGCTGCTGCTGCTGCTGCCGTGGGCTTCCGTGCGGCCGCCGCCGCCGACGTGTCGATGGTGGCCACATGGCCCAGGTCGCCGATCTTGTAGACCACGCGCTCCTGCTCGGCCGGCGACAGCCCCGGCGTTCGAGTCATGAAGAGGTTCGACGGCTTGATGTCCATGTGCGCCATGTTCTTGTCGTGGATCCACCGCAGGCCCTGGCACACTTGAAATAGGATGGCCAGGAGTTCGGTCTCCGCGTACCGGCGCCGGGTGGACAATGACCCGCCGTTGCAATACTCAATCTGGATGTAGATCTTCTTGCGTCCGGTGGGCGTCCCGCCGGTCACCGGGCCCGAGCCCGACGGCCGCGGGCCGGGCCGCTCATCCCACACGAACTCCTCCCACACGGTGAAGTATCGGACAACATTTTCATGAGCACCAAATTGCGCAAGCCGCGCATGGGCATAGACCTCCTTGCGGGGGAGTTTCCTGTGACGAGGGGGGGGGGGGGAGGTCAGCAATGGAGGTGAGAGGCGTCAAGGCAACGTGCGCGGCTGGGCCGGAAAAAAAAACACGAGCAACCCCAGGAAGGAAGCCACACCAGGCCGAGCATCAGAATGACACGTACCCGCCCTCACACGAGGAGGCCGGCAGCTCCTTGATGGCATACTTCACCCGGTCGATGAGATTCCGACACAGGAAGACACTGCCGAAGGACCCAGTACCCAGCAGGCCAAGCTCCTCGAACTCCGTGCGAAAGCGCGAGTCAGAGCGCGGGCTGGCGGAAGCCCCTCCGCCAACCGGGCCATGCCCGCCCCCGAGGAAGTACGACGGCCCATGGAAGCCCCCATTACGAGGGGCCTTCGGGCCGGACACCGGGCGCGTGTCCCCGAAGAGACCGCTGGCCGATCCGGGCGTCGGCGCAGTGTGCGAAGGCCCGCGCGGGCCCCCGGTCGGCGGGGTGTCGCTGAAAAGCCCCCCCGAACCGGAAGAAGGCGGGAAGGGAGCCACAAACCCACGCCCAGGGCCACTCAGCAGTCCGGGCAGGGGGGATGGCCCCCCCTGACCGTGATCCTCGGACCCCATGGGCATCAGGGCCGCCGATGGGGCACCATTCGTCGAGTCGAAGGACAACACGCCACTCGGGGCCAGGCACAAGGCACGCTGATCGGCCTCTGCATCGCATCGCATCGCATCGCATCGCATCGCAAGGCCCTCACAAAAGGTCAGCAAAACAGGCCCACATACATGCACACAAGCCAATCTCACCAGTTGAAGGGGGAAAGGTCGTCAAGTAATCCCACAACGCACCAGACATGTCCTCCGGCGCGTCGGCCAGCATCATCGGCCGGTTCTCGGTGCCAAAGAGCCCGGGATCCCCTCGGCCGGGGAAGAGCATCAGCGAGGGATCGCCCGCCGAGGGACCGGCACGCCGGACAGTATTCCCCCCCGTCCGGGATAGCAGGGGCGTGTCGTCGGCGTCGGCCAGTGCTGTCATGAGGCCGGCTGTCAGTGGACCGGGAGTGGCATCCACCGCCGGCTCCGGGCCCGGGTGAAGGGCCATGCTCTCCAGCTGGCCCGGCGTCGGGAGCCGCTCCAGGGGGATGTCTATGTCGCCGGTGTGCTCGCGCTCGAAGGGGCACATGAGGTCCGACGTGGCCCCGGGGGCCAGGCCCCGGGGCCCGGTCAGCGGAAGACCCCGGTCTACCGGCGACAAGTCCAACCCATCGCGCCGGGGAGGCGTGTCATCCGGGCCGAAGCTGGTGTCAGTGCCGGGGCCCGATTTCGAGGCAGGCCCCGGGCCATCTCGCAAGCGCAACGGCGACAAAGCCATCACCGATGGACTGATGTTGTCCTGGTCATCCTCATCATCCCACCCGGTCATGGTGACAGCCGGCAAGTTGGCCGGCCAGCGGCCCGCACCGGCCGCCGGAGACCCACTCGGCGAGGAGAAGGGGGACGATTGAAAAGCCCCGCCCAGGGGGATGGCCGCGCTGGAGGCCGTGCCTCGGGCTCCGCCTCGGTGCTGCGAGTGGCAGGCACTGCTGAAACGCGGCGTCGGAGAGGAGGCCATGGTGGCCGCGGCCACCGTCGCCGGTGTGCCGAAGGGACCCACCGCCGCGTCGTCCGGCTGCCGGAGGCCCTCGGTCGCGGTGTGCAGCACGGCCGCGCCCATCGGCGACATCGGGCCACCGGGGGACATTGGCCCGGTCAGCCTCGGCGAGGAGGACGAATGGCCAGCCTCCGAGTGCATCGACCCCGGCATCTGGTGCGGTGGCTGGTGGTGGGGGCGGGGCTGGGGATGGTGATGCTGCGAGTGCGCGTGCGATTGTGGGCGCGATGGTGGCTGCTGCTGCTGCTGCTGCTGCTGCTGCCAGAGGGGGGATCGCGCGGCCAGGTCGGAGCTGGAACTCAAGTGCTGGCCCGCGCCCCCGGGCCAGAGGGACGGACTGAAGGAGAGCCGCGTCTTTTGCGAGGAGCGCTGCTCATACATGCTCCGCTCGACGGCCGCCAAACGCTCATCCATGGAGGTGTCCATGTCGCTGGAGTCCGGATGCACCAGTCCAAAGGAGGAGGGAGGCGAGTCGCCGAGCAGCTCGCTGGAGGGCACCGGGAGACCGGTGGCCGCTGCCGTGGCCGCCGCTGCCAGCCCAGCCGACAGACGCCGCTGGGGGGAGGTCATTGGCGTGGACAGGCCGGCTGCCGCCGGGCGGGGACGGTCGCTGCTGGGCGCCGGAGAGGGGGTGGCCCCGGGCGCTGTTGAGAGGAAGGCTCCGGCCAGGGGGACCGGCCGGGCCCCTGCAGCAGCGCCGGGGGTGCCGGCGTCGGGCGGGCCAGACATCGATCGTCAGGGAGGGAGGGGAGGAGGGGGTTGGAGATAGGGAAAGACGAAAGGAGCCGGAAGGGCAACGGTTATGGGGAGGGGTGTATGTGTGTGTGTGTGTGCAAGTGTCGGGGGAGATATGGGAGGAGGGAGGCGTGTCTCTCTCTCTCTCGCGCAGCTGACGGCCGAGTGGGCTGACAAGCACAAGAGGACGAGGGGGGGGAGTGGGACAGGGAGGGGGGAGGGGAGGGAGAGAGGAGGAAAGGGAAAGGGGAGAGTGAAGAGGGGTGCCCCGAGGCCGGAAGCCGGCGGGGATCCTCTGGGGGGGGTTTTGAGCTGGGGGGGGGGGGGGAAAAGAAGGCCACAACAACCAAGAGCTCGCCATGTTGTGGTGGGGATTCCCGAGAGTGGGGAACACCACCGACAAGGAAGCGCGATCGACCTGGCAACGCAGGCGGCCCCACTGTGCCGCCCTTGCCCCCGGGCCCCCTTTTCCAAGGAGCCGGCTGGAGGAAGGGGAGGACCGGCGAAAGATGACCAAGGGGGTGAGGGCTCCCAGCATGCCCCCAAAGGGGGTTGGGTTCATCGCGCGCACCGACCGCGGTGACTAGTTTGGCGTGATGATCTGGCTGGCCTGGGGCGCTGCCGCCTCCGTCGCCGGGACCCGGCCGAGGGCGCGCCGGGCCCAGGCGTCGAACTCGCGGAAGGCCGCCGCGGCCGGGACGCGTCGGCGTAAAAGTCACACACGCGCACGGCCAGGGGCAAGGAAGGGCCCAGCTCCCACACAGACACACACACACACACACACCCCTCCGCCGAACCAGGCGGCGAGGAAGAGGCCAACCGGGGGGGGGGGGTGAAGGGCGGAGGGGTCCATCATCCCCCCAGGACCCAAGGCGAGGGGCTTCCCGCTCACGCGAGCGACAGGGAAGGGGATCAGGAATCCCGGCCCACGACTCCGGACAACCGGGCAGCCAATCCTCTCTTCCAGGAGGGGGGATACCACACACGGACAGACACACGGACAGACACACAGACAGACACACACACACACACGCATATTCATATACCCACATACACACATGCGGCAGGCTCACGCGTGCCCAGGAGGCCACTGGCGCCACCGGGTGTACACCTACCCCGGGAGTTGCGCCGGGCGGGGGGGCCAGCTGCCGCCGTCCGGTTGGCCGCCATCTCGCTTCCCCCCGCGGGGGGCGCCGGCGGGGGCCACACGAACCGGGCCCTCGGCACACGGTCCGGGTGGCGCGCCCAAGCAGTGAGGAACTCCCGGAAAAGGATCTTTTAAAAATATAACTGACACCGAAGCCCGACGTTACTCGCCCGCCGGACCCTCCCGGAAAGCCCCCGGGAGCCGGGGTCGGCCAGGGCGCGACGCAGGGGCGGGAAAAAGTGCGAGGGGGCGCCGG